TCTCCCTCTCCCTCTCTCTCTCTCTCTCTCTCTCTCTCTCTCTCTCTCTCTCCTCTCTCTCCTCTCCTCTCTCCTCTCTCCTCCCCTCTCTCTCTCCCTCACTTCTATTTATATGTTTATATACATTCACACCCCTTTCATCTTTCACTAGAGGTCTCTCAGATTTCATAATGACAAAATGTACAATTCCCTACTTACTGCAACAACAGGGCTTGTGTCATCTGCTTCAGGTGTGTGTCATAGTTCCCATCATGCAAAGAACACAGCCTCTCACCAACAGCAATCATCATGTCCCACTGTCCGTCAGTGATTGGAGAATCATTCAACTGGTCCAGGGACTCTCTTGAATTCACCGTTGAATACAGGGCATTAACCACCAAATGTGTAACCACCTTTAAAGAAAATTGTAAATTGTAGAGATATAATCATAACCTTCATTGGGTGAATACCAACACTTGTGTAAATGCATATATGATTATGCATCTGTTAATGATGAACATGAAAAATCTTTCAAAAGATATACAGGTAATCTATCCACAGAAGACACTCCTTCATAAATCAGAACCCCACAGATCTTGCATAATAATCCCTAATACACTGCTCTTGTATTCCCCTATTCTCCAAATGCTTCCAACCTAACACTTCTAAAAATTACAGCCAAAATTCACCCAAAATTTCAAGGCAATGCTTTGCAATACAACCTACCACCTACTCTGCTACCAATGTCAGAAGCATAACATTTACAAAACAAGTTACGAAGTAAATAATTATACAACAAACACTCACATGTCCTCCTGTAGGCTTGATGGTAGGCGGAAGGTACGTGTTGATGGTGTGAGCCGCGTAAATGACCGGGAGAGGAACCGAGTCGGCAACACCTTCCAGGCCAGTCAACAGCTGCAGAGTCCAAGCGGCCAGATGATGCTCAAGCCTGACTGACAGCTGGCTGGGGTGGGCTGGCTTAGCAGGAGGCTTGGGAGGCACTGCTCGCATGACCTGACATGAAAAAATAGAGTTCAATAAAGAGAAAGATAATAGAAAAAATCAATAGAAGATAAAAAGATGAACATGGAATAAAGTCAAATTAAAAACAAATGTAAGGAGATTCCACATCCTATCAGGCAGAATACTCTATCAAAGACAGAACAACTGTAAAAATGCTAAAGAGCTAATACTGAAAAAAGTATCAATATATATTGTCATAAAAGTACAACTACACAAAGAACCTTGACAACTAAGTTCCATATTACGAACCTCAGCAACAACACCCACTACGCTTGGAGCAATCAACTGCACGAGAGCATGATGCCATGGTGGGCGCTGGATGTTCCAAACCTGCAAAATGACAGAATAAAATATGTGGAGAAAACAAACTTTTTCAAAAATCATTACATCTCTAAAAAGTGACTCTATGAGAATTTATTTTTGCTGATAAAAATAAACATATCTTGCTGAGAACTTTATTTGACAAAACAATTTGAAATCACATACCCTACAAGTCTGCTTCAAAGCTACAAAGTTCGAAAGGATCATAAAAACTATCATTATTTTCTTATATCTCATAATCTCTCACTAGACAAAATGTAATATACCTGCGTGCGGTCTAAGGAATCCCACAAGCCAGACTGTTTGACGCCAGGACCAATAAGGTTGGACAAGGCTGGCGTCCAATCCACACATCTCATCGCAATCTGTAAGTCAGGCAGTACCTTCATTAACTTCTCAAATATCATGCCTTCTTACCATGCAAATAAGTCAACATAATGGTACATAAAATAGACTACAACTGATAACTCCATCATCAAATAACTGATAAATATATTGTACACAAAGTTTAGCATTTCAGATACTGGTTAATCAGCAGCAATAGACAAGACATGACAACAACAACAACAACAACAAATAAAAAAAAAAAAAAAAAAAAAAAAAAACAGACAGACAGACAGACTCACATGATCTTCACAGACCATGAACAAAGTCGTACCTGAGCAATGGCAGCGTACACAGTGTGAGGTATCAGAGGAGGTGAGCACAGGTGTGGCATGCACATAGGGCCGTCACAGGCTTTTCCTGCTGTGACCTGTCCAGGGGCATCATGCAGTCCCTCCATCAGGGTCTTTGTGCCCAAGAACTTCCGCATCAGTAATCCCTGCAATGTAAGACGAATGGGAAATGAGAAAGAGCAATTCATTTTTTTTTTTGGTTGTAAATTTCTGCAGTTTGTACAGGATGTCTTTCAGGAACATGTATTACAACTTTCACATTATACAAAAAGCCCTGAAGAGTTACATATTCAATTTTGAAACTGGTATATCACAAAGAATTATAAAATACAACTGACACATAATCTGAAGTTTTAATGACAAATCAAATGAACTATACACCAAGTTTGGGCTTACAACTGAGACTCTTCCTACCCTTATTATGAGTGGATACTGGGGCTGCGGTCGACTGGCCACCGTAAGCAAGGTGAGATAGACAGCTTGGTGGTCTCCGAGGAACCTGAGAGATGACTGCCCGTGAGGAAAGAGCGAAGGATTGAGGAAAGTGAGCCAAGCTGGAGTGGACTCAATGCTCGTTGGTGAGTCTGGGTATCCTGTTCTCTTTACTGCATTGTCAAAGCCCTTGTGGAATATCTGTTAAGGAGGTTCAAACTGTAACCCATATAACTGTGAAAGACCATATACTCTTAATTCCAAATAAAAATACACACATCCCAAATAATTAAGAACAATCAGTATCTTTCAAAGTTAAACATTCGCCCCGGATTTATGTTCTGTCCCCTGTAGTTTTTTGTGAATGTTGTTACACATAGATGGCTGTCTATGTGTAATTACAATAAATAAACTTGTATTACATTGGGCATGGCATGTATTTGCTATTAGTCTGTTGTCATATAAAACTTACTCTAGCAACATTTTCGATCGGAGCACACTTGAGAGCAGCAACTTTGAGTAACAGATCTGCACGCCGATGGATAGGCAGAGCAACAGACTCATGGATGCGAACCGAGAAGAGCATTGTTGGAGAGGCAACAAGGGAAGGCAGAGTAGCGGCAACTATTGTCAAGATTGCAACAACATCTGCCTTGTATTGCTGAAGCCTCATGTCACTAGGTTCAATCTGTAGAAGAATGTAAATAATTACAAATCTGTATTTATCTAACTCTATACATATCTATATATCACTTTGCATAAAAATATTTGCACTAATATACTACATCTAAGTTAAACACATATAAAACTAAAAATCTTAAAATGAAAACTATAAAAAAGTATACAATATAACTAGGAAAAAGATAAGAAAATCTGCAAAATATTTCCAATATACCTGGGCATATCTTGTGACTAAGATGCTTAAAGTATCCGTAAATATGCTCGCTAAAATACTTTCGCTCATCCGTGGAGAAGTATACTGCCACAAATCATTTCGAACACCTGGAGAGAATAGATATATAGTAGTGAGCTAGTAAAAACATTACGTTTCCATCATGGCATAAATCATAATATAGGATTACAAACACTGCTGATAAAATGAAAGGAATTAAGCCTGCATTTCATATTCCCATTACAACAACAAGCTTGCCTAGCATTTGCACCTTGCATGTAAAAAGCCCACATCTGAATGCTTTCCGAGAACTTTTCATTCTCGTGGTATGGTTTAACATTAGTCCAGTCGTGGCTGGCAGGATCATGCAAAAGGGCTGAGTGAAGCAGGTCGCAGTTGTAGCTGAGGATGTTCTGCATCAAGAACTCAACCATCTCACCACATCGTCCCAATGCACTTGTAAGGTTTCTGGAAGAGGAAGCAAAAAAATAAATAAGAAATATAAAATCACATGTTCAAAAAGTCTGATCTGTAATATTGTGGCTTAAATGCATAGAAAAAATTATTTTTTAAATTACTTAATTGGATTAAAAATGCATTACAAGTCAAAGTAAAAGGTCAACACATAATGTGACATGCAATTTGGGCATAAATGTTTGATTAAATTTATAGACATAATGATTGAGTCATGAACTACAAGCTTTGACAATGATACTTTTAGTATCTTTTTAGCTGTGTCCCGTAATAAAATCTCCAGAATTATGTATTTCCTAAAATGAGAATAAATTTTCATCATAAGAATACAAAAGATGGATTCTATCATAAACTTTTCATAATGTAGAAGGCAAGAAAAGACAAGAATGTCAATCAACATGGGCTATTTGAGAACATTTCTAAACAATAAATGAGTATCCATGAGGGAATATTAAATGAAGAAAAGAGATGCTTAAATGATCTCATCTTAGCCATCCCTAACACACAGCCAAAAGAAGGCAAACTGTCAAACAGCATTTAATAAGCTTACTTGGAACTTGGTTGTTTCAGGATATCCTTGTAGGCATTGAGTCTGTTCCGTACTAAAGCTGCAGAAGCAAGGCATATAAAGAGGATCTTATTATTGCCAGCAATAAAGGCGTTTTCACTGATCCGTTTGATGTGGTCGAGCATGTAATTTCCCGACTGCTCTGCTGCAGTCATCAATGCTGCCTTTGGTGTTTGTGGCTTGCCCTTAGGTATGGGAACTCCTGGGAGGGATTTGGGTTTGCTCTGGCTGGCTTTGGAGGCAGAAGACACTGTGCTTCCCGGCGTGGATCCCCCAACTTCGATATTGATGTGACGGCGTGGAGGGTAGAGAGTGACCTGTCCCTCTGCCCCCACCATGACCTCACTTGGCAGCACGCCTCGGGATCTGTCAACTGTGGGGTCAATTGTCAACTTGAGGCATTCCTCCCAGATGCACATGCCTTTGCTGACGCTGTCTAGAGCTGATATTGGGGTGTCCCTCTGCCCTCCAATGGCATACAGGCACACAGGCTTTGCAGTGACCTTGGCACTCACTTTGAAATCAGCCCATTCTTTATGCAGTTTGTCCTTGGAAGAACCTGCCAACTTTGATACATCCATAGCCATTGCTGATAAATGCCTTGGAAGAAAGGTCTTCCTTTACATTTGCTTGTTAGTTTATTCTAGATGTATTCAGGAGGATAAAAGTATATAACTGTTTTCTAACACAAAATTTCCATATTCACTTTCAGAAGCAAATGAGGCACAAGTCAGAATACAGATAAATAATTTTATTCAGTCACTTTTCTACAAGTTTCTACATCTCCACATTATTTTTGTTCATAAATATCAATGGTACATATATACAATATAAACATGTTAATCATCAGATTCATTTCTTCCAAAGGCACACTTGGAAAAGTCTGTTTCCATCTGAAACACTGGTGACAGTTCTTCAGTTAGCAGATCATGTAAAGAGACTCCTGTGTGGCGGTACACCCAAGTGCCATTAATAAAGTCATATCTCTTGGGCCCGCTTGTGGGGGACGAGAGCCAGATCTGCTTATTTGGGGTTTGTTTGTTGATGACATATGTTCCTGCGCTTCCAAGCTGCAGCGTCAATACACCAGTCTGCAAAGATATGGTTATATGGATAAGAAGACAGATTTGGCCAACATGTGATATATACATAGTATGCATACCTGTTCTGTGCAAAACCTGGGATGGAATGAATGAATTGAAAAAAAGAGGGAGGGAGAATGCAAGAAGGAAAGAGAAAGGGAAAAGAAAAAGGAAGAGGGAAAAAGTGTAAGAGAAAAATAAATGAAAAGGAGAATGAAAGAGGAGGAAAGAGGGAATAACAAAATGTGGGCATTGAAGGAGTGAGAGATTAAGGTATAGAAGGAAGCAGGATGGAAGCTAGTGAAGACAGGAGGGAGGTAGAGAGAAGTAAAATGAAACAAGGAGAGATAGTTAAAAATGATCACACAGACACAGAGGAAAGCATAAACAGAAAGAAAGAGGGAAGGAACTACAGAAGAATGTATGCATGATAAACCAACCCTTGTAACTTACAGAAAAGGTTACATCGGAATCTATAGGAGCAGAATCACTCTCAACCAGTTCTTCTAAGTACTCGGTCAAGGATTCCAGAGTTTCATCACTCACATGGTCATAGGTTGTAGGATCTATTCTGAAAAAAGTAAGAATCATGTAAGTACATATAATAAATAAGAGCAAAAGATACATTACATTACAGTATTTGTATTATCCTAGTGCATTTTTGCAAGACATTGTTGACTAATATCCCTAAACCTGAAAGAGTTTGTGATCACATGGATATAGGCAAGTAAATGTGCATTCCTCTTTGCACCAATAAATGAAATGATGTATAAACACCTTTCCTCTATGTACCCTTAATTAATATAGCAGTACCTAGAAGTTTCCTTAATAGCAAGATTTATTAATCTAAAAGTGAGACCAAGATTAGTTTTCTAAGGACTTAGTACAGAGGGTATATTTATATTTAAGAGACAGCAGGAAAAATGGAGGAAAATATACAATGGTATCACACCAAATAAAGAGCTGCAACACAGCAAATAATTATAGTTAAACATATATACTTCATGCAGCTATGCTATGCATGATTCAATAATAAAAACTATTTACACAAAACTACCCTAAATCTAATGTCAAGAAGAGTTCGTTGTTGTAACTTTTTCCCCAATTCATTTCATACATTGTGATTTAAGACCCTTTGCCCATGTAAGACGGCAAAAATTAGTTCTCATTCATAGAAAAAAAAGGAAACCTATTAGCTAACACATAAAACCACTTACTCAGTAGAACAATAACCCCTGGCAGTGTATTCTGTTGAATTATATCCTTGCAAAAAGAGTTTTTTACTTCTTGGCTGCAATGAACTTGAGAATGTGACAGGGAACTTGAGTCTAGTCTGCGATAACTGACGAATGGATAATCTTGATATCTGTCTTGCTGCAGCTTGGGGGCAGAACTGGCTCACACTGAAAAGTAGATGAACAATATAATTATCCTGACTAACAAAAAAAAAAAAAAAGAAAAAAAAAAATTGATTACAGGTGCATAAGAGACTAACTGCATTTGAATGTAAAAAGCTTACTACAAAATTTACATAAGGATGAAATAAATACTGTCAGTGGGTAATTCACCTTCAATTAGTAACTTTGTGGCAGCTTCACTTTTTAAATGGTAATAGTGATGTAAAAAAAACATTAAATTTATTGTGTAATATGAAACATCATATCATGCAAAAATAGCTCTACATATGCTTTACAAATGAAGAAAGGGAAATCGAGAGATTTATTTGAATGGATGAGAAAAGCCCAGTTTATTTAAAGGGTAAAGCAACTTGCCTACTACTTACACATTTATTAAAAGAAAAAAATAATTTTCAATAACTGTCACTACATGCCCTCCATACCCCTTAAGGCAAACACCTTAGAGTTACATATATGTATTTAATCTAAGAGTTGTGCGACACACTCCATTACCTTCATACTGAAAAATTATTTCCGTGGTGTTTCAAATATTATCTAATTCCATGAAATCAAAACACACGTTTTCCAAGTAGAATAACCACACTATGAGGCAGAACCAAGAGACAGAAACCACACACAATCACAGCTAATATACTATTAGTTTCCCGAAAACATCATCGACACCAAGACCCATGACCTGTGACCTGCAAACTGACCTGCGAAGGAAAACAGACGTCATATTTGTTATGTCTCGGTTTCCGTGGCAACGAAGCCGGTCAGCTGATCGCGGGACAGGAGCTAAAAGTGCCGTTTTTTTGCCGCTGGATTCTGCATCATGTATATCTGATTATTGTGTGAAAATTGTTTATTATTTATTTATTTTATCTGCGTTGATGTGTTTTTTTTCTTTATTTTCCCCCACATAAACACTTAAAACAGCAAGAAAATTTTGTGAAAATGAAAAAATAAAAATCTTTTATATCTATATATTCCCATAAAAATCTAATCAAATAATTCACTTTACTACACAATATATAACATTACATAATAAGAACTTTAGCAATTTAAATACAAAACCCCTTTCATACATACAGGGTCCCTTGAAAACAACAGTGTCACATTGATCAGCTGTTCAGTCCGGTGTGAACCTTCGTGGAGAGAGAGCCACTCAGTTCCCGGTGTTTATTATATATTATTCTCCTAAACTACGAAAAAAACCCAAATAGGTATGAAATGATTGTTGTTTCATAGAGTAATATAGATTTACAGGAACTGTTGTAGTCTGATTTTTGGAAGTATATAGATGAATACACACGAGAAGAATTTTTTTTTAAAGAAGCAGATGACAGGAAACACGAGAGAAGGATCCGTAGGCACAGCATCCCAGGGATTTCGTGACTGTTATCTCGGCACAGAGGAGAAGGAGATGTAACCACCTACTTATGTATCGATATTTTTGTATAGGAAAATAATGGCTTGGGTTGTTTCTTTATATTAGGTGATAATACCAAGCCAGTGCTTTTTAAGGACTGCTTGTATAGTGTTAGGTTTTGTTGTATAAACATTCATTTTTATTATCATGATCTTTGATATGAAATGCCCAATGTTATGACTTTTTTATAGGGAATATTTAACCATTAAATTCTTGTTTAGTCGCTATCATAATCTACTCTTGGTTTCAGGAGTTTGAGATGAGGAGGTGGATGAATGCATGTAGGCCTATGCTTTCGTCCATAAATTTGGTGTTAGAAAGGAATAGATGTAAATCAGATTTAGATTTCAAGTTGCAAATTGATTAGAGTGTTGATTTGGGGGAACCGGCAGACTATGAAGTCTTAAATTGGTTTAGAATTAAGGTGCAAAGTAAATGGTAAAATGGTTGATAGATATGAGAAATAAGGAAAAGAAATGTCCTTGGGCTAAATTTTATTCCTTCCTCTTACCGAAAGTGGTCATGGCTGCCAAGAATGTGCGAGTGCTGTCCATCCAGAGCCATGTCGTTTCGGGCTATGTTGGGAACAAGAGCGCCTGCTTTCCGCTGCAGGTAAGTCGTACGTTTGGGCATATAGCATTGATGGCTCTATGTTTTTGTTATTACTGGTGCCATTCTCTTAATCACCTCTGAAATTCTTATAATATGATGATTTTTTTTTTGTATATTCTTCAATATTTTTTTTCATATAAGCAGTATGTTGTTTCTGCATTATGATATCCTTACTTCAAGCAAGTTAATGTTGCAACCATCTGTTGGTTCAGATATCCGATCTTCTGCTAATGCTTTGGTCTTTGTCCAGCTCGTACTATTTCCACTAGTAATCCTGCATGGGTACAATGCTATCTTAAAAGGGACAGTGCTAAAGTTGTGGATTCCTTTATGATTGACATTATGATTATCACCTTTAAAGAAAGTAATGGTTATTGTGAATAGATAAGTCGCAGCCTTAAAAGAGAGTAATGGTCATTGTAATTAGAAATGAAACAATAGTGTGTAAAGGTCAAAGCATGTTAAGCAAGGAGATTAAAATAAATGTAATCGCACACTAATTAAAAAATTAAACATGAAATCAACAAGATCAACCTTGTTACTAAATACCCCAAAAAGGTATGCAACCAGTGAGCATGTTGCATTGCAAGTGCCCATTTACAGATTTTTTTTTTTTTCTGGGAATTCCTCAGATAAGCTTTGCATTGCTGATAGCCAAGAAACTTTAAAAGATATTTTCTATCAAAGTTTTAGTTCGTGGAAATGAACTAAAACTTAATGAAAATATTGGCAGTAATAAAAGAGGTATGTTATCAAGCAATTGCTGCACCTGATAAGCACTGGAATTTATTATTGGTATTTTTTTTCCCAATGGTAATTTTCTTGGTGTATCTCATGCCCTTGCTAGCTGTTGGAACCAGTATTGTTGCCATAGCTGGGTTCTGTAGACTGAATGAATTGTAAACATCACCTGTATTGGTAATGCAAAGTTTTTCTGCCTCTTTTCTTTCCCTTGCCAAGTAAATGTTTATTCTACCAGTCACTTATCCATTCAAGTCGTCCAAATTCAACAGGATATACATAGAATTAGTGTTTTTCTCTTGAGGGGTTGGTAGGAGAGGATACCTTCTGCTTTGTATCAAATTTAAGTTAAAAACATATTAAACAATATTAAGGACACACAAAGATGAGGTTTGAAATTTAATGAAAGGTTTTCTGGTCCAGTTTTAGGTATGGGTATTGTGCCTTCTGCATATTATACTTCTCTTTAGACCAAATGAAGAGATGAGTATCATACAAATTGACCTTTCTCCTTATATGGAATTTTGTATGAGATATATGACTTTTTTTTTTCCAAAATTTCTTGAGTTACCAGTCTAACTGCAAGTTGCAAATGGCATCCTGTGTAAGTAACAGCTATTATAAAGGGGTAGTTTTTTTTTTAGAAGATATATAGATGATATCTTATGTAAATTTCTGGTATGGAGACCCAGCTAAGGAGGAAAGATATTCTTTTTGTATATGAATACTTCTCTAGATATGCATGGGTCATCCCCAAGGAAAAGGGCTTGAACTAACTCTTAAAAAGATGTAGGATTGCAAAATGAATAGGATTTTTTTTTTTTTCTATTTTACTATTTAATATTTCTGTAATTGCTTTTCTGTCTTCTACAAATGAAGGAAAGGGAGGAGGGACACTATACAGCTTCTATTTTAACTTGTATGATAAATGGTTATGGGGATACAAGACAGCTCATGTATTTTCTGTGGGCGAATTTAACCAGGAGATATAGCAGATACACCTAGGAAATTTTCATGCTGATGTAAGGAAACGGATGGAAAAAAAAAGCAACTTATTTTCCCCCCTCAGAGATCCATTCATGCTATTTATTCATGTTTATTCTTATTCTTGTAGGTACTAGGATTTGAGGTAGATACCATCAATTCAGTGCAGTTTTCCAACCACACTGGCTATAAGTCGTTCAAGGGACAAGTGTTAGACAATAATCAGTTAGGTAAGTATGGTGAGGTAGTCTCACAGTTTGTAAGGAATCTGCAAGTTGTGTCTTCTTTATTTGAAAAAACTGAAAGATATTGAATACTGTAAATCATTTTGTTTTTGTTTTTTTTCTGTATTTTTCTTCTTTTTTTTCATTCTTTCTTTAATATGGTCCTCCCCAAAAAGAGCAAAGTAATTTGTATTTCACATTTCCTTGCATCTCGTAATAGTTACAAAAGGTTGGCCTTATAGAAAAGTCTCAGTTGGAGAACAACAAGTAAGCATGAAATATTTTGTTGTAATGAATTCACAATTAGACTTGAGAGAGTGTGGTATCTTCTTTCTTATTATGGAGTATGAGGACTTGGCCTTTTGTCTGTAGGATTTGTCTGCTGTAACAAAAACAGCAATAAATAACCATGTAGTTCTTGCATGGTTTTCTGTGCGGTATGTTATTAATTGATGTGATATGGATAATAATTCTGAAGATCCTTCCTCTAGCCTTTGTTTCATGTTATTAATATGCAGAGTAAGTGTTTGTATGTGCTTTTATGCTTAGTGTCTTGGTGGTCTGCATGATTCTCAGATTCTACTTTATATATTTTACTTACTCAGTCCTTATAAATGATTGCATAAATGGATGGCACTCACAATTAGCATGTGACCTTAGAAGTACCCAGACTGATTTAACTCATAAGTTTGAGAAATGATTAAACAAATACGTAAGTCATAATACAGACAAGAGTTGTCCAGTTGTTATACTAAAATAGGATCTAGTGAAAGTATTAGACTGTAAGTCCTAATATTTGAAATTTGTATTCCTTAAAAGTCTTCTATGGGGAAGGTATATAAGCTCATTGTTACAAACAAGGCCCAGAACTATAGATTATGTATAGCTGTTGCTCATCAGTATTCTAGTCATGGAAGACCATGCTGGTGAATCACTTTTAGAATAATGAGTCAAAAACAAGGTCTCCTGTACCTTGGTAGGTTTAGAGTCTCATGCAATCTGACACTTATACCTACAGAGCATTAGATTAGATAAGATAGGGATGATAACACTTATGTAAAGATTAAAAGTGACATTTCTTTACAATACATATTTCTTTAAGCAGGGCATTGGGTATATTTCTTAATTATCAGTTAGTTTAGTCCATGAAATGTTAATAGACATATGGATTACATAATTTATTTTTTGAAATGCTATGTGCCAGACATAGGATTCAGTGATACATGCTAATTTAGTTTAACAGGAAAGAAAAGACAATAGTGATAATACTGACATATCTCATTAACTTTAAAATCTGTAGCTGTAGTTCCAGTTGTCTCTAGAATTTAAATAACAGTTGCTTTGCATGACAGTCATATAGAACAAGGTTAGAGTTTCTTAGTACTATTATTCATATAAGCAAGGACCCCCTTTTTATTATGTAAAGCTTCAGGTGGGTGATTATTGCCTTTAAACAGTTTTCAACTTGTTTTTGCTTTGTCTTTACAGGTGACTTAATAGATGGATTAAAGAGCAATGGCATTGACTTTTATTCTCACCTGCTAACGGGATACATTGGGTCGAAGTCCTTTCTGGAGAAGGTGAAGAGTGTGGTTGAGCACCTGAAGACAGTCAACCCAAATTTGATATATGGTTAGTGTGGGAAACAGGGTGAATTTT